ACCCTGACCGAGACTAGAACCCGGTTTGCCGGCGCCGCAAGGTGAAAGATTAGTCTAGTTGCGCTGCGGAACCAGCCTTCTAAATGAAATCTTACAGTTAAAGGCACAGCATCACCAACAACCAATATGGAGGTGCAGGCATTTGGCATAGTAGTGAAGAGGCTGCTTGGGACAGCTGCATCCCGTATCTCAAGTACCTGGACCCTGATTCCAGCTTCCTGCTAATGCATATCCTGGGACACATCAGGTTCAGGTAGCTGGGTCCCTGCCACCCACATGAGAAATCTGGTTGCCTACCTAGATCCTGGCTTTGGCCTGGCCCAGCTCTCGCTGTTTCAGGCATTTGGGGAATGAACCAGCAGTTGGAAATCTGTTTTTCTGTTTTCAAAAATTTTTTTAAAATTTTAATTAAAGCCCAGCACCGCGGCTCACTAGGCTAATCCTCTGCCTTGCGGCGCCGGCACACCGGGTTCTAGTCCCAGTCGGGGCGCCGGATTCTGTCCCGGCTGCCCCCCTTCCAGGCCAGCTCTCTGCTGTGGCCCAGGAGTGCAGTGGAGGATGGCCCAAGTGCTTGGGCCCTGCACTCCATGGGAGACCAGGAGAAGCACCTGGCTCCTGGTTTCGGATCGGCGCGGTGCGCCGGCCGCAGCGACCATTGGGGGGTGAACCAACGGCAAAGGAAGACCTTTCTCTCTGTCTCTCTCACTGTCCACTCTGCCTGTCAAAAATAATATATATATATATATATATGTTTATTCTGGTGCAAAAAAATTTTTTAAAGATCTATTTATTTGAAAGGCAGAGTTACAGAGAGGCAGAGGGAGAGGGAAAGAGAGAGAGAGGTCTTCCATCTGCTGGTTCACTCCCCAGATGGCTGCAATGGCCAGAACTGTACCAAACTGAAGCCAGGAGCCAGGAGCTTCACACGAGTGCAGGAGCCCAGGCACTTAGGCCATCTCCCACTGCTTTCCCAGGCCACAGCAGGGAGCTGGATTGGAAGTGGAGCAGCTGGGTTTCCAACTGGCGTCCATATGGGATGCCAGCACTGCAGGCGGCAGCTTTACCTGCTACACCACAGTGCTTGCCCCACAAAAATTTTTGAAACCCATGCAGATGTTGGATCATGAAAAAGTTCACAGAAAATATGCATTATGAAAAACCTATGCATGCACCAAAATAAACATTAACTTTTAGTACCACTTTCCCCACAATCTTTTTGAAGTATACTTATTTACAGCTGTTTATATTTATTCTTCTTTACATGGAGGAGTTATCCTATACAAACAGTACTGCATTTTGCCTTTCTCATCTCAAAATAAAAATAAAAACTGTGCCTTATTCTTCTCTGATTATATAAACAGATGTTCATTGTAATACACACACACAACTTAAAGGGATGGAGAAGAAAGTGAAAATCTGGCCGGCGCCGCGGCTTACTAGGCTAATCCTCCGCCTTGCGGTGCCGGCACACCGGGTTCTAGTCCCGGTCGGGGCGCCGGATTCTGTCCCGGTTGCCCCTCTTCCAGGCCAGCTCTCTGCTATGGCCAGGGAGTGCAG